TTAGCGTCCCCGCAGCCCGGTCGTCGACCAGGCCTCCTGGTTGCCGGACTGATCAACCAGGCTGTTGGATGCGGCTGCTCGCAGCCTGACGTATGAGTCACAGCCTGGTTGATCAGGTATCCTTTGGAGGTGCTTATCCAGTTCTCTCTTGAACACTGTGAGGGGTCGGCCAGTTATGCCCCTTATGTGTAGTGGAAGCGTGTTGAACAGTCTCGGGCCTCTGATGTTGATAGAGTTCTCTCTCAAAGTACCTGTTGCGCCTCTGCTTTTCAACGGGGGTATTCTGCACATCCTGACATGTCTTCTGGTCTCATGTGATGTTATTTCTGTGTGCAGGTTTGGGACCAGCCCCTCCAATATTTTCCACGTGTAAATTATTATGTACCTCTCCCGCCTGCGCTCAAGGGAGTACAGTTTTAGGCTCTTTAGTCGGTCCCAATAGTTTAGATGTTTTACTGAGTGGATTCTAGCAGCAAAGGATCTCTGCACGCTCTCCAGGTCAGCAATTTCTCCAGCTTTGAAAGGGGCTGTCATTGTGCAGCAGTACTCCACTCTAGAGAGCACAAGCATTTTGAAAAGTATCATCATCAGTACAGCATCTCTAGTGTGAAAAGTTCTTGTTATCCAACCTCTCATTTTTCTTGCAGTTGTGACGGCTACTTTATTGTGTTCTTTAAAGGTAAGGTCTTCCAACATGAGTACACCCAGATCCTTTACATTGCCTTTTCGTTCTATGTTATGATTTGCCTGAGTTTTGTACGTGGTTTCCATTTTTATATTTTCATTTTTTCCATAGCACATAAGCTGGAACTTATCTTCGTTAAACACCATATTATTTTCTGTAGCCCATAGAAAGCCCTGGGCCGTACCAGAAAACCGAGGCAGTCGCAAAAATACTAAGGAAGGGAGCCCACTGGCAGACTCCTACAACATGGCAGGAGGAACAGGCTCGAATGCCCCTGTCACTACCCCGGAAGGGGAATTCCCCGAGACCGCCGGAGTCTCAAAACAATCGAACCCCGCCCCGACCCCGAACCCACAGATGGTAAGGAACCGGATAGAGGGAGGAAGGGGGAAATCCAGGGGAAAGACAAGGGGACATGGAAGGAACCAAAGCAACCAACACCCCCAAGTCCCAACACAAACCAAAACGGGGCAGCCCCGGGGCTCCCGGTGAGCAAACAAACGAGAGCGTTGCCACCACCTAAGCTCAAGTGCAACACCCCTGCTGCCTGCACCCACTTAGTCAGCATACAACTGGGTAACTGAGCCACAACGAGCAACAAAACTCGCAGGATTCAGGGTCAAAGGTGTCACCGACCCCACAGGCAGCAGACGGAGGCAAAACAGAGAGCCACCCTGAGACAAGGGGTGAGAGCAACCCTCAAACTTGCTGGAAGCGAAGGGGGACTCCGGGGTCAAATCCATCGGACCCCGGCGCCCCCAGGGGTTTCCCAGGGTCTCGAGAGTTTACTATAATAGGACTCACGCTTAGGTAATCCCAGGCAGGGTACTGCTAACCGGCGCCCAAAGCTACCAAACAATTTTCCAAGAGCTGAACCCCCGGGACGTGTACACTCACGGGGACCTAGCAGGGGGAATCACCAGAATAATACTCAATACACAAGGGACACAAGGGGAGAGAACGAAGGCAGACTCCCCATCAGGTAGATAAACAAAAATAAAAAGAAAACCTAGCAAGAGCCGTAAACCTAGCGTACCCAGGTGGAACAGAGCCGGCTGCCGTATGGGTGAAAACAGGCTGCGCAGCACCCTGTGCCCCACCAGTGCAAAACTGCCCCTTACCAAACAAGGGGTAACAAGGGCGAACAAGGGAGACAAAACACCCGAGCACACAAAGGGTGGCCGAAAACCAAGCAGTAAACGGCCTAGTAGGGGCAGAACCCAAGGAACTTGTGGAAGGTGGCCCCAAGCCCCAAGGGCAGTACTTACAGGGCACCTAGGGAAGGTAACCCTAGGTGCATGCAGCCTGAGTACTGGAGACTCACTCCCAGCTCACTCACCACCTAGAAGATAGACACCACACTCTAGGTACAGTGCTGAAACAACTAATGGAGCCGGAGCACACAACCGGTACCTATAGCATCAGCCGAAGAACTGATGGGTGGATAGCTGGCGTGAGAAGTCTGGGGCTCCCCCTTCCCCCTCAATGGGAGGGGGGGAGCTGCGCAGACAGCGGCGCGGTGACGTGTGACGTCATACTAGTTTCCTTGTTTTCTGTTGCGGAGATCTATCCACTAGTTCGGCTTTTGGTAGCAATTTTAACCAGAATAGGGGTTTGTTTTGGAATGCTTACCTTTCTGGATGCTTGACCTGGTCGATGGCAGACATAGAATGCTTCCAACCACATGGGGGTTTCTATAGGCCATTGCTCCTCTTGCCTCTCTGAGGGGGCCAGGTTCTGGCCGTGGTCCCCGGTAGGCCCTAGAACTCCATACACATGACTGATGCCAAAGTCTGACATTAGCATATCAGCCTGGTTTAGCTCCGGGGAGCCGATGGGGCTCCCCCCAGAAAGGATGATATGATCACCACTTACAATAAGTACTAACAGGAATCGACCAAATTGACAAAGAGGAAATCCTGAAACCAACAACCTCACAAACAAGAGGACACAGATTCAAGCTAAGGAAACAAAGGTGCCGAAAAATATTAGAAAGCTTTCATTTGCAAAAAGAGTGGTAGAAGGTTGGATCAAGCAAAGTGATAAAGTGGTGGAGGGCCAAAATCGTCAGTAGTTTCAAAGTGTTATACAACATAGAGTACTGGGAAGATGGGCCACCATGAGCGTAGCTCTTATCCTGTAACTACACTTAGGTAATTACTCTCTCTTTGCTGTCTGCTTGCTCATTTTCTCTCTCACTTTCTCTGCTCTCTCTCATTTTCTCTCTGCTGACTCTCACTCTCTCATATTTATATATTTTCTCAAGAGTAGATTACTGAAAATGTGTTACTGCCTAGAAATCCTTAGGTTTCTTGTTTCACTTTCTAGTAGTACAGTTGAGTTCGTTCTTGACTCACAAATCAAGAATTCCGGGTTAGAATCCCAGGCGGGACAGAAATGGTTGAGTGCATTTAGCCTTAACCACTGCACTTAACGTGCCTGTAGGCACTCGAAGAGTGGTGCGCAACACGTCTCAGGGATCTTATAGGTATAGCATATGATTCAGAACTCCCACAGATACATGGGGTTCACATCAGCTTCCTCAGGGCTCTTGTAAACAGACAACATTTTAAAAAATAAAATCTTGGGCAATGTTCCCAGGTGTGAGAGCCTCAATACTGAGTGAGCAACCAAGGCTGGCACATGCAGCATGAGCTCACAGCACTGCTGTTCAGCTTGTGACCACAGCATCACCTAATAATATCAAAATATATATGTAACTGGTATTAATTAGCCATGATAGTATTACAGAAGAGCTTGAGTGTGATAATGACTGTGTACAATGTTCAAATATCAGTGAATCGATGCTGTTCACAATGTTCACAGTGCTTGCCACAGCACCACAGCATTATTTCATCCATCTAGGAATCTCCTAACAACTTCTTATGTTCCTTTACAAATAAATTTGTGGTCAATTATTCATTTACAGGGTTTAGTGACCAGGATTGTGATAATAGCAGGATTGTCGTGATAATTAGCACTGTGCGTAGTATTGTAGGAGGAGGAATTTTGGTGAGGAGGGAGGGGAATCCAGATGGCGTCACTGTGTGTGGCAGCCACTCTTGTTTTGCTCACCATACTAGCTTAGTGGTTTGCTATGGTGAACACATATGTACATGGGTATATACAATGTGTGAATATAGTGTAATAAAAGCAACAGGAATATGTTAGGAGGAGCAATTTTGGTGAGGGAGGTGGCATCGAACTTGTAGCATTGTCGTCTGCTGTGTGACTTGTCATGCAGTGTATAGTGGCCACTGTGCTGTTTGGACACAATACCAGCTTAGTTGTATAATTATGGTGAATAAAACATGTAGATACTTATATATAACATGTGTGAATAGCGTAATAAAAACAATAACAGCATGGTGGAAGGAGGAATGTTAGCAGGTAAGGTGTTGGAGGAGTGATGGGGGCTGGCTGGATGTGGCAGCTCACACTAGCGGAGTTATGAGTGTGTTGATGGTGAATGTATATAGTGTGATAGTGTATAGTGTGTAAATATGTTGTAAATATACATAATTTAACATGAAACATTGGAAATATGAGCACTATATGTGAACACATTTGTGACAGTGCATGTAACACAGTGTCTTGGAACAGTACGGATGTTCTACTGCCATAATATTGTGTACGTGTTCATTATACACAGGATTGGCAAGAAAAAACAAAACAAATGTATTTGGAAATGTACACAAAAAATGGAAAACAAATTATTTGTGACAACTCGCGCATGTTGAAACTGGCTTTGGGAGTCTATGCCATGGGCGACCAAATCATGACGTCATATGCCATTTTCCACACCCCATTGCAGCCAAAGTAAGTAAAATTTTGATTTTTTTTTTTACATATCTGTGATCAGGGAAGGGTATTTAACATTTTCAAAAACAAAAACAAAAATTTTTGCCAAGAATTTATTTCCTGTGCACAAGGGGAAGGGGTGCCAAATTTGGAGCCCAGGCAGTACAGTGGTTCAGTAGGTACCCTGGAGTTAGTCAGCTTGTTGAGGGGTTGCATCCTGGGCGGGGTCAGTAATTCAACCTTTAGGAGGGGGGGGGGGTGGATCCTCGATGTCAGCCTTACATGTATGAATACACTCCGGCTGCCTGTCCCCACAACACATTGAATTATAATTATTTTTATTATCTGTACTTTCTTTGTGGTCACGTATGAATAAATGAATCATGATTATTTTTGTGACAAAAGAAATTGGAGGTGAGAAATAATAAAAGTACATTACTGTACAGCAGCTGAACAGTAATGTACTTTTATTTTATCTGTATTTTACAATGAATACTAATAGCTGTGCACTTACCATGGTTCTTAGCAGCATAGTTTTCTGCAATTGATGTCAATTGTATGTCAACATCATGCAAGGTCATTTTTCCCTCAGCAGGACAACGGTTCTTCAAAACATAGTATGCTACCTCTGCAAAATCTCCAGATTCACCTCCAGATGTTGACTTGGGCTTTCTGCAATAAAGAAAGGGAGAAAATGTTCTTCTCTAATAATACCAAATAGTATACCCACAATTTTTCTCCTTTGCTGGGTGATCCTATCTCTAACTCTTCCAGTGCATGATATGGATGGGAATGATCTCGCAAATTAACCATAAACTGCACAACAGAATTGGGGAAGTTTTAAAATACAGCATAAAATTGGGAAGTCCTGCTGGGTAAACAGGAAAACCAGACACTGCCCAGGGGCAATAGTAAACAGCCACCATCTTAAAAAAATCCTGAGTAGGCTGCATTGGCAGGAAGGCCTTAGTTTGTATCAAGTTACCATGGCTGACACATGACTTTCTGCCTTACAATGCCAATCTGTGGCTCACTTCACACAATGGCTGACTGATGATGCAATTCTGAAGAAACTGATGGAAACTGATGAGGAAAGAATCATGGATGATTCTGACAGATACATGTGTAAATGACCCTAGGGTGAGGCCTACACCACCACCACTGCTGGTACAACACCACTCGACACCACCACTGGCACCACAAGACTAGCCATGTGAGTCTTTCCAACATGCAAAGGCTGTGAATATATAGAAGATGTTTCATTTTCTCGATTTAGTGACTTGGAATCTGAGAGTAAATTTAGCAGCAGCGTGGCAAGTAGTAGCAGTGTAAATGGTGCTACCAGACAAAAGCCCTCCTGATTCAACTGCTAACCCCACCAAACACCATCATGTGATGTTGCATGGAGGAAATTGAGGGAAGATTGCACCCATCTTCAACTGTTACGCCTTCATCTTCCAATGTTCGCATCTGCAGTGTGTGAAGTGGGATGGCTTCATCTCTAGCCAACATAGTTTTGTTTGTATGATGCATAGCCATAGTGTTAGTGGTAACTCCTTCAGAACAGCAATGTACTCATGCAGGGGAAAATAGTACACACTTTGTTCCACAAATACCAACATTTAATGATACACTACAGATGAATGGGTTATAGATATTTTCCTGTATACTGGTGAGGACACGAGTGAAACTGGGTGTTTTATATCGTACTTCAATGAGCTGCCCATAGAACACATTCTTCAGGAAATGAACAGATATGTGGCTAAACTTATTGGAAATGAAGTATATTACCACATTCACAATAGCAGTGTTGAAGCTGAAATGTATGTATTTCTCGCCATCTGTATGATGATGCAACATTCAGTGAAACACGTCATCCAGGAATATTGCTATCAAGACTGACACTCCATCACCTGTTTTCGGAAAATACACGTTTCACAGCAGAGTTCCTGTTACTTCTTAGGTGAATTCATTTTGAAAATGTTGTGAAAACCAGAATGCATATGATAGACTGTAGATGGTGAGGCACCCCTCAGTGAACTGAATGGAAAGTACAAATTTTTTTTACATAACAGGTCAAAAGCTGGCAACTGACAAAATACTTGTGCTTTTCAAAGGACATCTTGCCTTCAAGCAGTACATCCCCTCCAAATGTCACAGATTTGGACTGAAATTATTAGTACTTTGTGATTGTGACACAGGACTGGTCATTGTACCTGTATGCTAATTTGGATGTCCTGGATTTGCCCTGTTTGGGGCTAAGGGACTTTGATTTGGAGGTGTTGGTTAACTCAACCATTCTGTTCG